GTGCGGGAACAGAACCCGCTGTACGTTTCACGGCAGCCGTTCGCCTAGATACCACGCCAACTGTGCAGCTAATAAATCGTAGTTATGCAATGCTTCTTTGTTTGTCTTCAGTATATCAGGAGATACAGATTAAAGTCCTTATGATCGACAATTTACTAATGAATGAAAATAATGTTTTTATTTTAAAAAATCAGCAAGTCTCTTGTTACTCCTTTGATGCAGCGGGTGTCTTTCGGCTGCACTGATCGCTACCAGCTGGTTTTTTAGTCTTTATTCCATTAAATGACACAATATTCCAGACAAGTAATCGAATAATGAAATGTAGGACAAGCAACTGAAAAAAGCCTTTTAAACTGTCAAACACCACGGGGACACCGATGACCGCAACCTATTGTTCTTTATTTGTGTCTATAATGACGGTACTCAACGAGTTAAAAATGACAGCAGCATTCTTAAGCCAAGTGACGTAAAAAGCGCATTCTTCCAACCAAAAAAAAAATATATATTTTCAATTGTTTTCTTCAAAAAATAACTTCTCATTGTTACAAAAAAAAATCAATCTTCACCAAGAAGTTTTCTATTCTCTAAAAATGGAAGGCGAAACTTTGTGAAAAGATTTCATAACCGACCCTTTGTAAGTGAAAAAGTTAGTCCACCTCCAGGATTTGAAACGACAAAGATTACGATTTTTTTATTATTTTCTAAACACTGTTTCCATGGCTGTACAATATTTAAAGGTTAATCTGGCTAACGGGGATACCAACTGACAAATTATCATTGATTCATTAGATAGGCTATCTAATAAAAAATTTACGTAACCGAATAAGAAAACTAATATTTCGAGATATTTTAATTATACTCTGTTTACATTAAAACTTTCGTAAGACATACTAAATACATTATTATGTTTTCGGTTTACTCAAGTATTATATTCGCCATGCAGCGCGAGAGTCGCTGGGTCGCGATTCGCGGAATGCTGCTCATAAATATGAGCCTCTAGCATGGCTTGAAACTAGTCGACTTCCTCCGCAAACAGATACGTGAGTAAGCCAAAAACATAATAATCCATTTTGAACATACGCTGTCTCTTCCATCCAGATAAGTATAGTAAAAATGGGAGATTCGGTAAAAAATATTTTTTATGTCATTTGCCTATTGTCTCAATAAATATAATAGGGTAAATGCCTAATTTCTATTTTAATGGCCGTCTGGTAGATTATTTTAAATCATTAGACACGTATTTTTTTTATTTTCTTACAGAAACGAATACTTTCGACAATATATTGATTTGAAATGTCGCGCGACATCACTTCTATGTACATTTTATACGAAGAAATGACGGTTTAGCCCTCACTCCTAAATTTGATTAGTTTTATTTACAACAAAATAAAAAAATACGTGTCTAATATTTTTTCATTACTTAGCTTACGGACTAATCAGATTTTTAATTTTCATACCCCGTCATCATCCCAATTCCAGAATCTATATTACATGCCATTGCCCTGTAGTGAGACGAGTATAGCTAAAAGTAAAATAAATATTACTACAACTAAGAATTAAAAAAAAAACGAAAAAACATCAACAATTTTTAACCCCTAGTCGCACTTTAGATCATTCAACCAACAGTTCGGTAATATTAAATTTAAAAAGTGTCTTTAAATACTTTTAGGTACCTATCATAAATTTTAAACCATTTTTTTAACAAATTGTCCTATACAAAAAATGTTAAAAGAATTCGATTGATCTTAACCTTCAAATGACGAGGGACTTTATTAGTGTCGTAAAAAGTCCTTGTCGAGGCAACCTCAGAAGTGAGACGATCAAATAAATTAGTCCAATTACTGACATTTTAATTAGTTTGACTTGGCGATCTTTTTACGGTTAAGGTTTTTTTAAATGATCTTGTTAGATAGTCTTTGTTTTAAATGTATCATAATTGCGAGAGTTTTAGTATTCTGCGGGTACTTTGCATTTAGAGATCGTGATTATGAGTCCCATATTATAGGGGGTGAGCCTATTGCCATACACCCGACCTGTGAATGAAACCCGAGACCCCCTTGCTCGGCAGTCAAACTTGCAACCACTCGGCCAACGCGGCAGCTACTAAAAGATCCAAGAAATAAAAATCCCGATAGTATTCAATAACCTAACAAATCTTTCTAATGAGTCCAACTATTTTCCTTAACATCCATCTGCGGTAACACGATAAAACTAAGCCGCTATTCAATAAAAATGTGGCCAAAGGAAAAACAACCTTATTGCTGATAATAATATGTTTCGAGATACCCACACGAGGGTATCGACTGATCATTAATCATTCCTTTGAGTCTTATACTTCTTCATTTGTCACCTCACCCCCTGAAAAGACTTTGAAAAATGACTACCCACTGTAAGTAGGTAACTTAAACGGTTCAGTATCGGCGTTCAGTGTAATAAATAGAAATTTTATGCAAGTTAAAAATACTGGAAACTTTGTTTCAAGGCACAGTTTTGTAAGTTATTATGGTCTGTATTTGTTTTTTTTTACAGTTGGTACACGAGCAGACGGATCACTTGATAGTAAGCAATCGGCGTCGCCCATTGACACCCGAAACGCTAGAGGCGTTTGAAGTACGATACTGACCTTTTGGGGATTAGGAATTTGAGGATTGTTCAGGATTCAGGGATTGGGAGATTATGTACTATACTCGGAATTTTAATTCGATTCCAGATTTGTCAATTTCAGTGTTGCAACGTTATGACAAGTACTAAATAGTGACGTTGCGAAATTATTCGCGATAGAAATGGAATATTTCTGGATCGATTCTTCTCGTTTATAATTTTACTCTCGTAAACTAAGTATATCAGGAAAATAAATATTTCTGAACGGATAATTTAGTTTTGAAGATTAATTAATGATCTGAGACTTTTCTTTTATAATTGTGTGTGGAATAAATAAAAGAATGTTATCATGAAGGAACATGACAAATAAAACAGATAGATGTATTATGGTAATAATATATTTTTTATAAATTGTCGTCGTCATCGCTATCGCTATCCTGTCACTTTCTGTAACATTTATTATAAAACACACACACTGATTGTTTATCGATTTTTGTGTTCATCACTACACTATTATATGTGGTATCGCTATTTCACAAAATGACAGTAGCTAATGTCAAATCTGGAATCTAATTAAAATTCTGACTATAAAAGATAAGACAAATTATTATTATCATTGGTTTTACGTTTATCATACTAGCTTCTACCAGTGGCTTCACTTACGTCAACTGGATAAAAAGTAGCCTGTGTTTATTATCTAGCTTAGTACGATAGCCGCATGTCATGACTGAGAAATTGGCAGCTACGCAACATATCACACGATCAATTACTGTACGGATAAAATCTTTGTATGATCCTCAAATTGTTAAGCTGCCTTGCTCTGGGTGACAAAAAGCAATAGAAAAATAATCGTATTTTTTGAATAATTATTTACATGTATACATAACATCACGCCTTTTATCCCAGAAGAGGTAGGCAGAGGTGCACATTATGCCACTGTACAATGTAACACCCAATTTTTACTATCTTTGTTATGAGTCCCATGTAATAAGGGGTGAGCCTATTGGTATATACCGGGCACAATTCCAGACTCCGTGCTACTACTGAGATTTTTTTAAAAACCCAGTAATACTTTGCCCAATCCGGGAATCGAACCCGAGACCCCTTACTCGGACTTGCGACCACTGAGCCAACGAGGCAGAGAATAATTATTTTTCAATACAAATAAAACGTACGTGTTGACGAGTGTCCATCACAGGTGGCCCTGATAGCTCTAGACAGTACCTGTCAACGCCAATCATAATTCACTTTGATATGACATGCAATTAATATTGATTATCATCAGCTCATGACTCTGAATATTCCAAAATCTATCGCAAATGACATAGCTTTCCTGTTATTGAAATGGTATAAGCAGAGATCTAAGTATAATATCTTGGATTTATCTACTACGTAACCATGAGATCTACTTACATCTGTAAAGAATATTCTATTTCTGTGATCTCGTTATATTTCAATTTTAATTTACATTTTCAAATAAAAAGTATTACTTATGCTAAAAAGAAATACAAACAGTCCGGTTGGTCGTACCTAATCCCAGATTGTCAATACATACTAATTCGATGAAAATAATGACATTTTATAAAAAGAGAAAATAATATAAAAATTGGCTGTCTCTCTTTTTGGATATTCCCTCGGCTGAACTAACTAAGCCGATTTGATGAGAAAAAAGGGTAGCTTGGATAAGGACAGATACTTTTGAATGTACAATTTATTTTCTCTCCCCAAATCCTACTTCCACCGCAAAACGTCACTAAACGCGTTTGTAATCGCATTTTCTCTTGTTACAGATAATCCAGTATAATGACGTCACACGAAGATAGGACGTAACACACCAAGATGGATATAGATCATGTAGTATTGGACAAAGAAGCAATCAGCCGGTTCGAACAGTACACATTGGCAAAGCCTTCGCTAAATGGAGGGATCCCCTTGGACAGATGCCAAGACGGCGACTCTATGGTATCTAACAGCAGAAAAAGAGCACAAACATCACGGCAAAAAGTTATTTGTTGCTTTTGACTAAAAACTACTAAGTATAGAAGAAAACAATTCATTATCGGCTCCCTCACTAACATAGTAATTTTCGTCGTACTTTTAGCCTACACATTTTTGGGATCGTTCATTTTCTTGGCGATAGAGGGCGGTGCCGAAGTCCCAGCCAGACCCAGATTACTTCCAGATAGACAGAAAATTAGCCATAAAGATCAGAACAGTACACACAAAAAGACAGACGACGAATATGATTATGGGAATCTAAGTTTGTCTGCGAATTACTTTTGGGACGCCAGAAGTAGGGCGGTGGAAAATATCTGGGAGATAACAGTGTCGCTTAATATTTTGTATAGAGAGAACTGGACGCGGTTGGCTGCACAGGAGATTTTGAAATTTCAAAACGAGCTTGTACAAAGGGTTACAACAGAAATGGCGTCGCAGTAAGGCGTAAGTTACAGAGAGATGGCACTTGGTGAATTCGGGAGTGACCTGGCGAACCATTATGAAGAGCACGAATGGAATTTGGCGCTTGCCTTTTTCTACTCTCTCACTGTTTTAACAACTATAGGTGAGAATTTTGAACACAGTTTTAAAATTGTAGAAGTAATTTTGGCTTGGTTCTTATGGGTTTGCATGCGAGGGGAATAAAATGTATGTGTGTGTGTTGTGAAACGAACAAAGTATTCTAACAAAGAATGTAAAGAAAGCATAAAAGTGCAATATCTATAACAATCCAGAGCTTCACTGCTCTCTTTATAAAGTTTATAGTTTAATTTTAGAAAACGACGTCTTTTATATTTTCATGTTGTAAAAATACTACCACGTATTTTGCATGCAACATTCAAGTTAATTGTTAGGTTTAAATACAAGTTAGTTTCAAAGTTTAAAACAAAAATAGGTTTTAAAATAAACTTTTGCTTGTAAGCGTGTTGTTTTTCAAAATATTTTCTTTACCTAAAAAAATTTAATATTCTATTGTAATATTTGCAGTTATAAATGACTGCCTCGTTGGCCAATTGGTCGCAAGTACGACTGCCGGGCAAGGAGTCTTGGGTTCGATTCCCGAGTCGGGCAAAGTACTACTGGGTTTTTATAAATTCTCAGTAGTCTGGAATTGTGCCCGGTATATGGCAATAGGCCCACCCCCTATTACATGGGACTCATAACATAAATAGTGAAAAGTAGGTGTGGTATAATGTACACGACTGCGTGACCCCTTCGGAGATAAAACGCGTGATGTTATGTTATGTTATAAATAAACGAATTAAGAAATTATTTGAACAATATATATCTTACGCCCGAATACTGAAAGGCTATTTAATTTTAAATTGTACTTGAATATCGAGGCATCCCTGTCAATTTACAAAGAATTTGTTATGACAGAACCATACTTAAGATTGAGTGGCGTTTGAATATTTCCGCGTTTTTACTTAAAGACCTTAAACAAGTATGGATCCACATCAACTATGAATTTAAATCTCTTATTTACCATTAGAGAAAGGTGTGGATAGAAAGATGATGTAGTGACAAGGATTGAAAAGGGAACGTTACGCTGGTTTGGACATGTAGAAAGAATGGATGAAAGTAGAGTAACGAAAGAAGTATACAGAGCGGATATGAATGGGGCCGTCGGTAGAGGGCGACCTAGACAAATACTGACCAGTTTGGCGATGTATTCAAGGCCAAATTAAAAGATTGATACTATGTAGGAATCTTAGTAATAATTGGCGTTCCATAGTCTCTGCCTACCCCTATGGGAGACAGGCGTGAAATTATGTATGTATGTATTTCTTTTGGAACTCTAATGTACACTAATTACGAAAGTATATAAACCAACAAAATATTCACCTCGATATCCAGTACAACCAATAATACAAGTTTCTGTTGAAGACTCTCATTGAATAAATTATTCTTCCACAGGTTACGGCAACATCGCACCAAGAACAATCCTCGGTAAAGGCGTGACGATCGTGTATGCTTTGATAGGCATACCTCTAACCCTCGTCTACCTATCGAGCGTCGGATCTCTCCTCTCCAAAATGGCACGAAGCGTCTTCAGCAGAGCCCTCTGCTGCTGCCTTTGTTCAAATTGCGGCTACTGCTGCTACGACGAAAGAAGAATGGCCGAAAAAGAACGCAGAATGAAGCTCAAAAGACAACAAGAAGAAATGCTAAACAGCCAGAACACAAGCAAAACTCCCACAGAAGAATGCTACGTACTAAAACCGGATAGCACAAAAGACCTGTCTCTTTCCGAAAGACCAACCACAAGTACAGCCAAAGATGACATCATAAGATGGCCAGATACAGACTCAAAACTATCCATGCACGGCTTGAGCATTCTAGCCCCTGTTCTCTTATGTTTAGCAGCTATATTTATATACATAGTTATCGGAGCAGTAGTTCTATTCAAAATAGATAATCTGGGTATTATAGATGGTTTTTATTTCTGTTTTATGGCGTTAAGCACCATTGGTTTCGGTAATATTGTTCCTGGTATGACATATACTACAATAAAAGGTGTTAGGTACTACACCATCAAATCTACCACTCTGTGGTTCTGTTCTGCGTATACGCTAACGGGATTGGCGTTAACAGCAATGTGTTTCGGCGTGATCCACGACGAAATTATCTATAGGATAAAGCATCAGCAGAAGCAGTGGTCACAGAAGGGAAACACAGTCAATGATGGAGTTAATATAAACGATCCATTTTACATGAACTCCTGACAAATGTATAGTAAGAGTAAGTCAGAGAATCTGTACAGCATTATGGAAGATAGTTCTTTAGAGCGTAACAGAATCGAAATTGACAATAGAGAAGTAGTTCTTAGTGTAGATGATATATCGACGGCCGTGGACCCAAATGCAGAGTTCCCACCGCCGCCTCCAGAAGAAGAAATCGTTGCAATTGTGACGAAAAAAGAACCTAAAGGTTTTGGTAATATGGTCGCTTAAAATGCGTTACCAGAAATGCTGGAACATGTTAACACATAATCTAAAAAGACTTGAGAATTTTTGATTGATTATTTTTTCTAATTTTTTTTTCTGATTGTGAGATTCTTAGTTATACAATATTGAGATATCACGCGAAGTTTTGTCGAATTTACTTTTTTCCAATGTGATTGTAATTATGTATATATTCTTGTAAATATTGTAATTAATCTAGTGTTAGAAACTGATGTCTGACATCTTTTATCAGATCTATTTGTCAACTGTTAAATATCAAGGTAAATGTAATAATTTTCATGTGAATAGTTTCTTTGTAAAAACATATGAGTTTAATAATAAAAAAATTAAAATTATTTTCGTGTCTTTTTATGGCATAAGCCGGTAAACGAGTAGACGGATCACCTGATGGTACGCAATCGGCATCGACCATGGACACCTGGAACACCAGGGTCTTACAAGTGCGTAACCGGCCCTTTGGGAATTGGGAATTTGAGGATTGTGGAGTATTCTATTATATCTAATATATTGGGCCTCCAACAATCTCACTCACACGACGAGGACGAAACACGACGCAAACGTTGTTTCACGTCGGTTTTCTGTGAGGCCGTGGTATCACTACGATCGAGTCGGCCCATTCGTGCCGAAGCATGGCTATACCACACTTAAAAATCGTGTATTTATTTTTGCTATTCTCTTAAATACCTTTATATTTTATGATTGCCAGAGACGGTTAAGTAGACCGCAAATTGAGTGCAAATTGATCGAACAGTACAATTTTATGCGATTTATTTTTGTAGGTAGTTGTCTAGGTCTAATATGCTCCTGACGGTATGTAAATGCACACATGACAATGAAGAAAAATCTAAAGAGGGTATCATGAAAAAAACCTATTTTCCTCTATTTTATGGGAAAAACGAAGGGGAGCTAACATCTCAGAAAATGTAGACGCACCTATAGTATAGTACTCTTCGTCAGTTTATTCCTGAACAAATTATTTTCCTTCTTGGCTTTCTGAAGACTACTAAACTCAACTCGTCATTCTAACTAGTAACTCTGCCTCGTTGGCCGAGTGGTCGCAAGTGCGACTGCCGGGTAAGAGGTCTCGGGTTCAATTCCCGGGTCGAGCAAGGTACTACTGGGTTTTTTTAGAAAAATCTCAGTAGTAGCACGGAGTTTGGAATTGTGCCCGGTATATGGCGATAGGCTCATCCCCTATTACATGGGACTCATAACATAAATAGTGAAAAGTTGGCGTTACTTCTGTGTGCACCTCTGCCTACCCCTTCGGGGATAAAATGCGTGATGTTATGTTTATGTAGTAAACTCAAATGGTCATACATACCGTTTGGCAGTGTAGTTAATGGCTGTACCAATTCGTTGCTTCACAGATGGATCTTCCAAGCACGGAGGTAGGTTTCTTGGCAAGGTGCTTTGGTGAGATAACCTATGACGTGTTGGTACACGTAAAAGGTTATCTGTAACAATATATGTGAATCAATCTTCTGGAGAAATTTGAAAAAGCGAAAGTGCTATTCTGCAACACACCGATTTCCATATCGACTCGTTTACTTTCATCATTGGTTCTTTCTTCGTTCATGTGAGCAATACTCAATAACAGTCATACTCCTCTGAGTAGCCATCAAATGAGTCTTCAATTGATGGCTGTTTAACCCAGTCCACAAAAATACTACGTTACTTAGGAATAGTTAAATATACATAACATCACGCCTTTTATCCCCGAAGGGATAGACAGAGGTGTACATTATGCCACTATACAATGTAACACCCACTTTTCACTATTTATGTCATGAGTCCCATGTATAGGGGGTGAGCCTATTGCCATATACCGGGAACAATTCCAGACTCCGTGCCACTACTAAGAATTTATAATATGGCAATCGAGTATTAGTTAAAGTAATCATTATATGTCTCTGAGTATCGCAGTTTGTTTGTTACAGAATTACACTTCTGTATCTTAGCTTATACTACGGGACTATAGGTCGAATTCTGAAAGGCTACCAAATTTTAATTTGTACTCATATATCGTTTCGTCTCTGTCATTGTACAAAGAATTTGTAGAGACAGAAATATACTTAAGCGTGACTTAAAATTGAGTAGCGTTTGACTATTTGGTCCTGTTGAGTAAGTACACTTGCTGTACATTTCCCAGTTATGTTATTTATATCCAGTAATTTAACCAGTGGATGCAAGAGTCGAGTTGTTGTTCGACGTGGAGAACTAAGAAGGAGGCCTTTGTCTAGCAGTGGACGTCTTCGGCTATTGACGATGATTTTTTTTTTTTTATGGCAAAAAGCCGGTAAACGAGCAGTCGGATCACCTGTTGGTAAGCAATCGGCGTCGCCCATGGACACCTGGAACACCAGAGGCGTTACAAGTGCGTTACCGGCCTTTTGGGGATTAGGAGTTTGAGAACTGTTGGGAATTCAGGAATTGGGGAGATTAGGGAAGGGGAAGCTAATTGGGCTTCCGGTAACCTCACTCACACGACGAAACACAACGCAAGCGTTGCTTCACGTCGGTTTTCTGTGAGACCGTGGTATCACTCCGGTCGAGCCGGCCCATTCGTGCCGAAGCATGGCTCTCCTACACGATGATGATGATAAACCGCATTAAAATTAGATTTAATATGCTTACTGAGTATTTCGAATATCAAAAATTCCAATAACACTTTAGACAAAGGTGAATCTCGATTGTATAATTCAACTACTATGAAAATAACGGCATTTGCAAGATATACAACATAAATTTTACCAGAAAGCAAGCAAAAAAAAACGCAGATGAAGGTAATTTCACACACAGTATTACTACAGACAAAGCAATAGTATATGGCAATAGGAATAAAGGAACGTATAATATGAACCAGCAGCCGAAGGGTTGGTACTGAAGAAGACAAATAGCCGTGTATATTGGAACGTATGAGTTTTTGTCTCACTCATACAGTTCACGTAATACGTAATAATAATAAGTTACAGGAACAATATGTAGCTTATCCTCTCGTCTGTTGAAAGTTGCGGATATAATGTGTTTTATACCGGGAGCCGGTGTTTCAACTAATAAAAGGTTAGGAAGAGTGCCTCATTGGCCGAGTGGTTGCAAGTGCGACTGCCGGGCAAGGGACTTTGAGTTCGATTCTCAGATCGGCAAAGTATAATTGGATTTTTCAGTAGTAACACAGAGTCTAGAAATGAGCCCGGTATATGGCAAAAGGGGTGAGCCCTATTACATGGGACTCATAACACAAATAGTAAAAAGTGGGTGTTACTTTGTACAGTGGCATTAAGTGCCATAATATATACCTCTGCCTCTCAGGGGGGATAAAAGGCGTGATGTTATGTTATGAAGGCTTGGTGTCAGTGGAAGGGATAGGCAAAGGTCAAATATATACATTTTTTATCAGTTATGTTATTAATTCTAGTTAAAAAGAGAGAGAGACTATTTCTAGGTTCTTAGTTTTTATTGAGACTTCCAAAGGAGGATCAATTGAAACGTTTTGCAGATTGTAAAATCTAGTCATTAGCAACAATCATGCTTAATAGTCGTACAATTGCTTCATCAATGTAGAAGACACTACACGAAACAATTAGTTAAAGATTATTTTTTGGTACTAAGACATGGCATTGAAGATACCTATATCCAGCGCAAATACCTGACGATGATGACGAATAAGATAAAGAATAATCATAATCTGGCAAATCCTTACTTCCTTACTAATATTATAAATAGGAAAGTGACTTTGTTTGTTCCGCTTTCACGCCATAACTACTAAACCGATTGATTTGAATTTTTGCTGATGTATAGTTAGAAGTCTGGATTAAATAATAGGGTACTTTTTATCCCGGAAAAATTTGATATTCCCGAGGGAACACAAAAGTATTGGTATAGATGGCGCTGTGTGTATTGGTATATGTCACATTGGCTTTTTATCCTTTTGTGACGAAAACAAAGAAAATGATAACCCATATCCACAACACAGGGAACCAACAACTTTAAACCTCAACTCCAACCTCATCGAGCGTATGGCGGGCTTCAAAGAGCTATCCCACCACCACAGATGGGGCCCAGTAGTGCTGTTGCCGATGTGGAGTCACGGAGGACATAACGGGTTGCTGGGGCTCCGGCTCGAACAGCAAGAGTAGGAACGGAGTGATTTTTAGCCAGTAAGAGTCTGACACGCCCTCTCGTCACATCCAAGGTGGGAGAAGTCATTGGTCATCAAGACAGTCATGATTTTCCCTCAGAAGAAAAAATTTTGTACGTAAGTAAAGTAAAGTTGATACATAAAAACAAACTGCCTCGTTGGCCGAGTGGTCGCAAGCGCGACTGTCGGGCAAGGGTTCTCGGGTTCGATTCCCGGGTCGGGCAAAGTATTACTGGGTTTTTAAAAAAAAATCAGTAATAGCACGGAGTCTGGAATTGTGCCCGGTATATGGCATTAGGCTCACCCCCTATTACATGGGACTGAAAAGTGGGTGTTACATTTTACAGTGGCATAATGTGCACCTCTGTCTACCCCTTCGGGGATAAAAGGCGTGATGTTAAGTATGTATGTATAAAAACAAATACCAAAAAACAAACTTCTAGTTTGAAAAACTTTACAAGAAACGTATTTTGCTTATATTTTCGAGATCACTTGGCGCAGCCATTTTGTCTCAGTTCGCTAACCGAAGAGATTCAATATGTTTTCTAAAGATTGAATCTACCCCTTCGAGTCCTGTTAGGTTTTGTACAAAGTTGTTCTTTGTTATCCTTACTAATATGAATGTGGGAGTGTTTGTTTGTCCATGTTTCACTTGTTTAAAAGTTGAAATATATGTTTATTCATTCATTATTCATCAACAGCTTATAAATGCCCACTGCTAAATGAAGCCTCTTTACAAACGGAGAAGGTTTGGTTTTGTTTGACCATGCTTGATCAATGCGGGATGGCGATATCAAACTTATGATTAGAAATTATAAGACCAGGTTTCCTCACGATGTTTTCCTTCACCGTTGCTAAGTGGTGTCTAAATAATCTTAGAAAGTACATATATTATAGAGGTACTGGTAAGTCGGAAAAACTCACATTGTTACTTGTTGTTAGTAGGTTTGGAACCCGCATCCTCATGCATGAGATGCGAGCATCCTAAACCTCCGGGCCACCACGACAAAAGTTATGTGGTACCACCTAATCGCTTTACTGACAGACAGATTGACGGGCAATTCAATTTTGTCATTTCAAAGTGACTATTTAAGGTTTAATTGAAATAAATGCTTTGATTTTGACTTTGGTAGAGTAAAATGCATTTGTAAGCCTCATCTTACCGTGGATATTTTTATGGAATAAGCCGGTATACGAGCAGACGGGTCACCTGATGGTAAGCAGTCGGCGTCCTCCATGAATGTCTGGAACACCAGAGGCGTTACAGGTGCGCTACCGGCCTTTTGGGGATTAGGAATTTGATGATTGTTCGGAATTCAAGGATTGGGAAGGGGGAAGGGTAATTAGACCTCCGGTAACCTAACTTACACGACGAAACACAATGCAAGCATTGTTTCTGCTCGACCGTAGTATCACTCCGATCGAGCCGGCCCATTCGTGCCGTAGCATGGCTCTTCCACACCTAGATAGGGTCTGTATCATATAGGCTGACTAAGAAACTTCACATTTGACAGAGACTGATCAGCAACGGGTCTCTGATAAAGCTATAGAATATTTTAAACCTCTATTATCTGCAACCTACATGCCAAGCGTGAAGAAGCCAAACTCTCTCATGCAGGCTAGGTCCGTAGTCCAACTATTAACTGTTCGGACTATTGATAAAAAGAAAATAATAATAATAGTTGTTTGTTTCAGGCAATCAGGTATCCATTGACGTAATCGCATCTAAAAACATCATAATTGGGTACTTACTTTCGACTGTTCAATACAATAAAATAGTAAAAAGTAATTACACTTTCATCATAATGATTTTTTAATTTTAGTATTTATCCAGCTAATTGTTAAGAAATAAGTATGCTGTTTGACGCTAGAAAAACTTGACGTCACAATACACAATCTCATACAAAATTCATAAAAACTGTTGTTTTTGACAGATTAAATTTGACCAATTTGACACCCAACAGACCCAAAAAATACATTCATAATAGTAATAATAAACTGTCTAATCAATATTGTTAATCAATAATGTCATCGGAAATACAAGAGAAATGATTGAATGTCAACAAAAAATCCTTACTAATATTATCAATCGGAAAGTGAGCTTGCTTGTTTGTTTGTTCCGCTTTCACACCGTAACTACTTAACCGATTGCTTTAAATTTTGCAGAAGTAAAGTTAGAAGTCCGGATTAAATAATAGGTTACTTTTTATCCCGGGAAAATGGGATATTCCCGAGGGAAAACAAAAGTATTGGTATAGATGGCGCTGTGTGTATTGGTATATGTCACATAGGCTACTTTTTATCCTTTTGTGACGCGAGCGAAGCCGCGGGTAAAAGCTAGTACTTAAATAAAAATAATAATGTCACCAACTAAGGTAATGTCACTAACTATACTTCTATTATTAACTAATTACGATTATATTTTTGACAATGAGTACAACCGTCGCTATTGTAAATGAAATTTAAACCTTATTAACATTTATTTGAGTCTCTTATTTTTCTTTATCCTACACGTAAAGTCAGGTCTAGAATCTAGTATACTATAAGTGTAAATTTTCCTCGTTACGCTATTTCCAGCTAGTACTGTATTGTTTTGGTTGTATCAGCCTTTTTCCGAAACGGTCTTGTAACAATGTGTTTGTTCGAAACGGACAGTTAGCGAAATTCGTAGTATATGTTCTTTTGTTCCCATTTCCAAAAAATACAGAGGTTTTTCGGATACATTTTATTATTTGTTTAGTCTACCTCTATATAATTGGTTGACTTGATACCCAAATATTGAAATGATACTCAATTTTAAAATGTACTTTAATTAATGCCATTTTACAAAAATGTTATAGTGGCAGAACTACTTAAGCGTGATTTAAAATTGAGTAACGTTTCAGTATTCAGTAATTAGTTAGTCAGAATTTAATGTCTAGACAAGTCAGAGAACAGGAACAAGTTCTTCGTAGTTGTGTGTGCTTATAACAAATTAAATAATCATACGTAAACAAAAGTTTCACAAAACTATTGTCCGAACTAAAATTAAGAACTCATATTTAACAGTTACAAAAATGAAAACCATGATAAAAAAATAAAAGAATAAAACCTTCATTCAAGACAATTTGAACCTTAAAACCATTACTCACACGTTCCCAAATATCATTCTAAAACGCACACACGTAATTCAAAAGTCGACATCTCGCATAAATATCACATTCCCACCTCGTAAGTACCTCGACAATATTAATTTATCAAAAACCCTTGACTTCTAAACGAGCCATCTCAAGATCGTCAGTCGAAAAGTTCACATTCTGACAAAAAAATGACTGAACACTCAAACTTCGGTATGATAAATTATCACCATATTTATTTGACGGGAAAATCTTACTTATGTTTAACAGAAGGGATGAATTTAGACGGCTTTTTGCTCCCGAAGGACGAATTTCGCGAAATATTTAAGGTGCTTGATGAAGTTTCGAAATTAACCCACTTGTTCCTGAAACAACTATTTTGATTATATCTTAATAAATTTAACATATAACGCTAATAATACTATATTGTACACGAAAAAAATATTAAAAAAATTTTTCTTCAATTAGGAAAGTAGGAAAATGCCGTCCTTTTAAAAGAACGCTAGCAATATGTACTGCTATGGTATTCATAGGTGAAATAAAATAAGACTATAGGTTTCACACAGTTTTATTTTGGAATATGAAAGCTTTCGAAGCAAAACTTAGGATGCAAAGTAACATTACATTTAGGACAGTAAAAATTGGCTTTTTTATGACATTCAAATCACCGAAGTTGATTGTCTCTGTATCTGATTAGGTGATCTTTTCCATCAAATCGGGAATCTTCGCGAAAATTTTGGGAGACACGAGTTGCTTTACGATCTGATCTTTTCTTATACGTTTCCAGAAGAGCTGTTGCCACACTTCTGCGGAAGTGAAGGAAGTCATATTCACCTCCGTTGTTTTTGTATAGTTGCCAAGAATTATGTAAGGCCATGTCCAATCCGTGGCAAATCAAAGAGAAGTACCATTTCTTTCCCCTAATTGACGTTCTGTACAGACCTATATTTTGATCGGATCTATCGACTCCCCCCATGTTTTCATCATATTTCTTAACGACAGATGGCTGATCAACAAGTACATATTTTTTTTCTTGCTGTGAAAATCTTTTTACTTTTGTTACAGGCTGAATCGTAGCGGCATTTGATGCAACACTCACAACGCTGTTATCATGCCACTTGCATACTAAAATTTGCTCTGCCCTAGTAGACTGGTGTTTGAATGTCCCTCGTGGGGTCTTCTGCAGTTGTTTGTTGGTAGGCAAAGGACATTTAGCTGTGCGATTTTCGCGAACAGTTCCAGTGGCCTTTATTCCTCGAACTCTCAGTTCATCAATCAGATAGATGGATGTAAAGAAGTTATCGAAAAACAAGTGGAACGGAGCTCGATTATTGATTTCTTGCAGCACATCTGCATATTGCAAGACCACGCTTGCACCTAAACCCAAAGCCAGTTTATATTTGTTTGAAGTAGCAGTTGACTGTCCTTGGTATGGATCAAACCAAACTATATAACCTAAACGTGTTGCTCCGACCCAAAACTTGTATCCCCACCTTATGGGCTTTCCTCTTATAAACTGTTTACATGGGTGACCGCCGTAATACGGAACCATCGCTTCATCAATGCTATAATGTTCTTCATACGGTGCATTGGCAACAAAACTTTTATTTAGCAAATCAAACAGTTCACGTAACTTTGCAAACTTATCACTGGTGTTTAGATTTGTATTGTCACAGCAGTGAAAATTTGTCATAATGAACGTGAATCTGTCTCTGGACATGGCGTTGTATACTAAAGGCATGCCACAATCTGCAGCGTTTTGCCAGTACATAGATCTCCTAGGCAGCACCACATATCCACTGTAAAGAAGAATGCCTAAAAAGCAAAGTATTTCGTCTTTGCTGACTTTGGCAGCAGGCGTGTTTGCATTTTTTTTGGCTACATATAAATTTGTGTAATGTACAAACATATTTATAATGTCTTCGCCAAACACCAATTGAAAATATTGTAAAGGGCTAAATTGAGTTCTGGTGGTCTGCATATGTTGCCATGGCTCAAAACTTGGGCGAATGTCCCGTGACACCCAATCATATGTCTTTTTTTTGGAGACAGTTATAATATGACCCGTAGACTCGATGGTGGATGTTGACTGAGAAGCGAGATCTGATTCAGTAGAAACCACGCGTCTGCGTATAGATAACTGCATGAGTGGTATGTCATCATCCTCATCACTACAATTTTCAGACTGGAAACAGGCTTCTCCCAGCGCCCGTAACTGAGATCCGGGTAAATTGTCTAGAGAAACTTGGTTTTCATCACCTGAATCCTCATCAGTGACATCAGCATTGCAGTTTTCAGGAGGCAGAATGATAATGGAATCAGGTACTTCCTCTTCATCATCCTCTTCTAACTTTTCAACTATTTCATTTAGCGTCAAATGCCGAGACCACTTTTTTTGATATCTGAAACGCATAATAGATGATAGTAACAGATTTTGCTATTGGTTGTTTAAAAGGACGGCAATTAAAACTGAATAAAATACATATTTGTAATGGCAATAAAATACTGACATTGCTATTAAACTTTAATTTAGGCAGCATATAACTAAGTTCTAGCCTTCTTGAAAAAATAACATATTGTTATAGTTATCATTCCTTACCTTGAATTCTCCATAGTTAAAACCTTGAAATCAAAAATGTATACAAAATAGAAGATTAATTAAATCACGAATAATGAATGATGTGTCCGCTTCGTACACTTAAGACCCGTCGAATGAATAGAAACAACAATGTTACAAATACCCTCATTGTTCACAATAATTTTATTTATACATCGACCTTTTAAAAGAACGATAGCAACAAGTGGGTTAATGGCACCTGGTTTGGAATTAGCTGCGCGTTTGCGGGATGTCCTATGAGGCTGCCGTGTAATTAGAATAGAGAAATGAGAGTACTAGTCTTTGCTCAACTTGTAATGAAAGTGGGGAGTAAGTTTGTTTGGTGTAAAATTTGATTCTGGCTACTTCATGTGAGGTGCTGTTTGATATTTAAGATGTGGTTTTTAAAATGGCAATTTAATTATGTATGCGTAAGTAATGAGTTAGTAAATTGTCTATGATTGAAATAATATTGATAAAATATTATCATCATTATTTCGGAATCTTAATAAGTGTGATAACTGATCCGACAACCTATTTAAAGATTTTGAAATTAACAGTCTCTAGTTGGAAATTATTAAATGATTAAAATTAATATTATTTTCAGATATAACATAACATAACATCACGCCTTTTATCTCCGAAGAGGTAGGCAGAGGTGCACACAGAAGTAACACACACTTTGCACTATTTATGTTATGAGTCGCATGTAATAGGGAGTGAGCTTATTGCCATATACCGGGCACATTTTCAGACTCCGTGCTACTACTGAGATTTTTTAAAACCCAGTAATACTTTGCCCGACCAGGGAATCAAACCCGAAACCCCTTGCCCTGCAGTCGCATTTGCGACCACCCGGCCAACGAGGCAGTTTTCAGGTAATATCAAAGTGAATAAAAGGTAGTAAGAGAAAGTCCCGTAATACTGGACGGCACCTAACGCCGGACGCTGTTTGTATTATCTCGATAACTGATAACACGAGCGATTCAATTTTTACTAAAAAATCTTAGGTGTCTGCCACTGGTAGACTTCCCTCTAAAAATTGAATCGCTCGCGTTATTAGTTATCGAGATAATACAAGTGACCGGCGTTAGGTGCCGTCCGGCGTTAAGGGACTTGCCCCTACTATTTTATTAGTTCATTATTAAAATTGTCTTATAATTTAATATATGGCAATAGTCCTACTTCCAAAATTTGTTTTTTCCAAATTTTTATTTTTAGACTTTACCCTCCTACCAAACAAGTAGAAGCCTAAAAATATCCAAAATGGCTGCCAAGAAATTTGATAGGGATACGAAAGATAAATATAATATCATCTGTCTGTTTTCCACATGTGGGGGCGACAGGGATGAAAATAAACTGTCTAGACGGGATCCAATGTCAGGTGAATGAAAAATAGCCATTAGGCCTATTTTTTTCATATCCTCGACAGCCTCGTTGGCCGAGTGGTCGCAAGTGCGACTGCCGGGCAAGGGGTCTCGGGTTCGATTCTCGGGCAAAGTAGATATTACTATATGATTTAAAATCTCAGTAGTACCACGGAGTCTGAAAATGTGCCCGGTATATGGCAATAGGCTCACCCCCTGTTACATGATAGGACAGGACTCATAATATAAATAGTGAAAATTGGGTGTTACTTCGATGTGTGTACCTCTGCCTACCCTGTCGGGGATAAAAGGCGTGATGTTATGTTATGTTATGTTTATTTATATCCTGCAATTCTTTTATAAATAACGTTCGAAAAAACAGCCTTCAAAGTCCTCTTCTTTTGAAGGCGTTTGATTAATATACCAACCTTCTCCTAGGTGTGACAAACACTTTTGTACAAACCGCATCAAAATCGGTTTAGCCAACCGCAAGGTAATCGCGCACAAACATACAGACATACAGTATGTTAGTAGTAGTAGCACTTATACATATAGTTATGCGTACGGCGCGTCGCGTTTCCCGCGCGCCTCAAAGAGCTATCAGACCACCACAGATGGGGCCCAATACGGCCGATGCCGATTCGGAGTCGCGGAGAACCTAACGGGTAACCGGGGCTCCGGCTCGACGTGCAGGAGAAGGAACGGGGTGGTTTTTAGTCAGTAAGAGTCTGACACTCCCTCCCGCCTCACCCAGGCGGGAGCAGTCATTCGATGATTTTCCCCCCTTAAAAAAAAAAAAAA